CAAGGCTTGATAGGCGTGAAAAGGAAGAACAAACTTGGAAAAATCACAAAAAAGTGTTGAGTTGATTTCATGTTTCCAGGCGTTTACAGGACTCCCTAGCCATCTCATTCGATTCCTGGGATCACAAGCAAGCTATACCAATCAAGAACAAGGATTTTCCTGCGCTAAAACCCAATGTAAGTGGTCCACGACTTTGGCTTGTTCTTGAAATCGAATTGCATGATTTTGGCATCTATAGCATGAAATACTTATATATTCTTGCTCCTTGAAACATTTGCAAGCTATCTATAACATTCAATTGCATTTTTGTGGACTATATTATGATTTGCCATTGTTAGGTTTTTTTGCTTCGATTTAGGATCTTTGTGTACAGGTAAAATTGGCTACCATGAAGGGTACCATGATGCTCAGCTGGCCAAGACGAATCAGTCCACAACATTAGAATTCATTTATCGTGCCTGTATATGATTTTGTAATGTGCAGGGTTTGTAGTGACAGACGTTTGTTCGTAGGTAAAAGTCTGTGACTTTTACCAACAGAGAGAGGAAGAATATGACACGCGTGGCATCATCCCATTCGCCTGTTTGAAATTGGGCGCGTGTTTGGTAGTCAGGTTCACTTTATGTATTTTATTATTTTTGTTCCATATAATAATCAACTGAACCAAGTGGCCCAGTGGTGGCCAGGGAAGCGTTAAGGCATTAGAGGGCATGAGGTCAGGGGTTCGACCTCTGCCTCCAACATTTGCATTTTTCTTGAGATTCCTTTACAGATTCAATGTCCTACAAGGCATGGAGATCACCATGGATCATCATCTCCTAACCATCAGATTACCAACCATCCAGATCTGAAGGCCATTGCATGAGTGTTCACCAAAAGCTCAGTCAATGCATAGCACTGGAACGTGAAAGTCAACATGGGTCAGATTTGTTTGGGCCCAAAGCTTGCTATCCACACCTCCAAAATTCCTTTCTCAGGCCCAATTTTCTTTTCCTTCTCATTTATAATTTCTTTTATTTAATTTATTTAATTATTTTTACTAATATAAAATCAATTCTTTTTTTATTAAAAAACCCATAAAATCAATTTTCATCCAATTAAATTTAGAATTAATTTTTTATACAAATATTAATTTAATTAGTTTATTTAATTTTAGGGTAATTTTAATTTCTTTTGTAAATAAATTAAAAAACAATTAGAAAATTAGGGTTTTAGTTTAATTTAATTCTTATTTTCTTTTTCTTAAAAATAACAAAATACAAAAATAGGTCAAATATAAATTATTTTCTTTAATTTAATTTAATTGGTAATTTTGTACATATTTAATTCAAGCCTTATTTTTTCTTAAAAATTAATTAAAAACAAAAAAAATAATTTTTTCTTTTAATTAGGTTAGACGGGGTCAAAACCCTAAATTCCTTTCATTCTTTATTCGTCACGCGCTTATTTATTTTTACCATATTGATGTAATTGCTCACAAGTTGTAATAGATTAATTAGGACTCTTTTCGTTCATTTATCGTTTCGTTTTTACAGGTTGTTTTTGGCTATGTAATTAATACCCGAAGCCTTGTAATAGCTTAGCTTTACTTTCCTCACTTTCGCAAATTATCAACTGTTAGATGTATGAATAATAGGGATGCATGACAAGAATGTATGATAAAATTAAAGCAGTTAGAAAACCCTAAATGTTAAAAGATAATAAAATTGAAATTAAATCACTCGCACATGCGCACTCCTAGGGTATACTCTCACTTCGGTTGCCTTCGGTAAACGATCATTAAGTATAGGGTATTTTAGTGGTCGCTCTTTCGTCTCAAAGATCAAAAGTTGCCTCAGAAAGGTTGCCTCAGAATTGTTGCCTCGAATATTGATCTTAAGACATTAGGGATATTACTAAGACGTCCTAACATTACTTTTGTGATCGTACGTCCCTTTTGAATTGACCCTTACAACTCCAACAATGGTGCTACCTACTCACTAATAGTAGGATAGCGCTGTCTAAAGGAAACGAACATAGAACGATTCTTTTTTTGAGTAGGTAGATGCTAGTAGGTACCTGCTCAAATCGAACTTTTTCACACCAAACACTTTTTCAAACAAAGTTTTCAAAACAACTTCGTAACACTCTTGAAGACAAAAGCAAGGGTTAAATCGAAGTTGAACAAAAACTTTTTTCAAATCAAACACACACAAGAAATTTTGAAAATGATGAGCAAGTACCTAGGAGCTAGTAGAAAACTACAGATAGAAAGGGTGCTAATACCTTCCCTTTCTATAATCTACCCCGTACTCAAAATCTCGAAAAAAGGAATTTTTCTGTACTTTTTTCCTTTCCAGTTGGATAAAATAAAAGTCGGTGGCGACTCTTGCTTACCGCGACATTTTGCAAACACAAACGCAAAACGCAAACTAGCATTCCTAAAACAGTTCCGGTTCGGGCCACCGTATCACACATCCCATAGATGAGGAGAGCCACAATTTCCTCAAAAGCTTGCTAATCCAAAGAGTTCCAACAATTTTGGGCTTTCTCAAACAAGAACTTTGCTAGGAAACCCTTGACACCACTCCTTGCCTCCCAATTAGTTATGATATCAGATGGTTTTAAGTGTAGAGCTTGAGCAATCTCTTCGGGCTTGGGATTTCATTCCATACCGCTGAAAGGTAGTTGATTGAGAATGGGAATCCTCAAGAGTTGGGATAATTCTTCCAAAGTTGGCACAAGTTGATAATCGGGGAATGTGAAGCAGTGGTGTAAAGGATCAAAGAACTGGAAGAGCACCTTTATCATGTCTTCATCAATGTTGGAGGTAACCAAGTTTAGTAGGAGACCATGCCTTTTGGTGAATGGAGAATTTTCAGGAATCCTTGATGCTAGCTCTTTAAGTTGATGAGAAATCCTTACAAGATTGACTTGAATGGTTTTCATGCGAATATAATCCATGTCCTACAAAACAGAACAAAGATAAATCCCAAGATCCTTGAAATGGTTAGTGAATATGAGTACGATGTTATGATGTTTATGATGTTTATGATGTTCATGATGTTATGTACCAGTGTATACATACAAATAAAGCAAACAAGTCCTTAGGTTTAGGCTTGCATGGAGTCTCATAGGTAAGTACCCTCTTGAAGTTTAGTTGGCTCAAACTTATCCTATTAATAGTATCCGGATTCTAAGGAGCTCAATATCACTGGTTTGTTTTCTCGGGCATTATTTCAGCGCAAGCCTCTTTAATGGCGACCAAAATATCCCAAAAAACCAAACCTCAATGAGTGTAGTATCGAGTATCTACCAACTTCGGGCTGCACCAAAGTCGGTCATCTCACTACGTTCTAAAGGAAAAGTTGGTCAAGTAAAGGTTCTAAAAGTCAATTAGTGCTTCATGACATCACTCAGCGGCCCTGTATTCTCCTTGACTACTCAAGGGCTACATGTACCCACAAATATGTCACACTAACGTAGCTATTTCTTAGACCATGTCGGTATACCCCACACAATTTCCACAACGTAACGCTACTTACCTATAAGGTATCCTAAATCCGGGTAGAGGATTTAAACCCCAACAAAGAACCAAAATGTAAAGCAAACAAATCAAACAATGAAAACAAGTAAATGTGATATAGCCCTAAGGTAACCCCACTTTTAAAATCTTCCCCAGCAGAGTCGCCAGTTCTGTGATACGGTGGGAGAACTGACTTGGTTGTTTTTCGTTTGTATTCACAAATGTTACGGTTAGCAAGAGTCGCCACCGACTTTTCTTTTATCTGAAGCGGTGAAAATCGGAGATCAAGCTATTAATTAACTTGACTCACAAAAGCAAGAGTCGCCACCGCGCTTTATTATTTCCAAGGGAAAAGGGAAAAGTGTGAAATAAAACCCTAAAATATGCAATGTAAAATAATACTTAAAAGTAATAAAAATACAATGCGTTTTGAAAAGAGATCGAGAGTTCGGGGGTTGGTTATACAATGGGAAGGTATTAGCACCCAATGTATCTGCGGTACTCCGCAGGAACCTTTTGAAAAATCCATTTTTTGGTTAAAATTGTTTGTTTGATAAAAATGGTTCGTTTGGCTAAAAATGGGTATGGACGAGATTTTGAAGATGCGACGACCTAGTGTCGAAGTTTTGACTTAAAAGAGTGTATGTTTGAAATTAGGTTTTGAGGAGATTTAACTTAAGATTTACAAAATTAAAAATGTATGAAGGGGTTCACACAATCGTATTAGATACTTGATGACATGAAGTCAATAAATTAATTCTTTCCCTTGGATTACGCACAAACAAAGTATAAAAATCAAATAATCAAAAAGAATTTAAACAAAATAGCACTTAAATCATTTAAATAGTTAACAACCAAAAATTAATTAAAATAAAGAATGACAAATTAAATCAAAATTATCACAACATCAGTCAAGGAATATCATGAGGAAATTAATTCAAACAAATAAGAAACAAAGAGGTCAAGATAATTAATAAGAGACTAATTTAGAGAGACAAAGAAAATCAAGCGAGAAAAGATAACTAAATGAAATAACTAAAAAAAATTAATTAAGCTAAAATACTATTAAAAGTCACAAGTTTTACTAAATTTATTTTAAAAGCTAAACTAGTTAATTTAAAATTATTTAACTAACTAAAGTTATAAAGAAAACCTAACTAAAATAATAAAAAAAATTCATCAACTCTTAACTTAAACAACTAAAATCAAAAGAAAAAGGGTAGAAGGTTAGATCATGGGAGAAAAATTGGATCAGGAGTGTAGAGAGGTAATAGTGAGACACTAAGGCCCGATCACAAATGAGTCCAGAAATGTTTTTTTTATTACACTAAACTTTAGGGTGTTATAAAAAATAAAATGGCATGGGCCTAATGGAATTACTTGGTCCCGAAGTTAAACCCAACCATCATTTTTCAGCATACTTATTTCAATTAAAACAAAACTAAGAATTATTAAACAAAACAAAAACAAGAAAAAAAATTGACACGTGAGAAGATTAGGGTTGGAGATTGTAATACCTCAGCTTTTTAAATGCTTCTCTCTTCTTCCCTTTCCCTTTCTTCCCACCTTTATTACTCTGAGCCAACCACTCCTCAAAAGCGTCGATGATTTCAGGTATGAGTTCACGGTTCGGCGACTCATCCCATCTGACCCAGTAACTCGTGTAGCATCGGAAACAGCTGCAGTTAAAGAGAGTAGCATGATCGGTGTTCTTAACGGTGTTCCGTTTTGGGTTTCCGGTAAAGGCTGGTGGGGTTGCAGCGGATGAGCAGTAGATGAGGTAAGCCAAGACTTCTCTGTCTTCGGTTGAGAGAGCATCTGCTAGGGTGAGGATGGTGGCCGGAAGGAAGGAAAGTTGGTCGGTGATGACCGGTGGTGGTGTTGTTCGTGTAGAGAGGGTGTTGAATCAGACCGTGACAGTTGAACGGAAGGCGAATGTTGTTGGGAGTAATAGGCGGCTGACAAATGATGATTGAGAAGAAATAGAGTGATGTGCAAAGGAAAATCGGCGGTTTGGATTTTTGATGATGTCGTACGCAGATTTAGCAGTGTAGTTGCAAAGTGGGGAGGAACTAATGGTGGTTCCTTTGTGTAATCTTCAGAACTAAGCTGTGAATTATCATAACTTGAGGTTGCTGATTGAGGAGGTTCAAAACCAGAAATGCTTCCAATGTCTTCAGGAACATAATCATGTAAGTCCAAGATATTGTAAGAATTCCCAGCTTCATCTTGAGCCCAAGGCAAATCCGGAGCATAACTATATCTTCCATCAACAACAAATCTATACTGGTAAACACCAGAGGGAAGCACCTTCAATATAGTAAAATCTTTACCTGATCTCTGCAATCGAGTTCTTGATTTCCAATTATCCCAAGATCCCTCAACAGAAATATCTTTAACACCATAACTCCAAGTAATCAAAATTGGAATTGCGTGTTGTGTGTACATATCTTCATAACCAGAAGTAGTTTGTGTCCATGAATGCATCTCATCAGGTCTTTGTAAAGGAACAACAGGAACTTGAGGAGTGAAGATGAGTGGAGAATGAGTGGCGGGATCGGCGAAAGAAGTACACGAGGAGGATGCATAAATTATTTATGAGAGACCCATTCATGTTCTTCTTCCTCTGTGCCTATAACCATATTTATGAACCTGTGTAAAATTGGTAAGCATTCATGTGTTAAAAATTTGAGAATTTATGCATTTTTGATGGTGTTGTCGATTGCTTTTTGCAGGTGGGGATTGTTACAAGGTGGAATGGAGGACGCGGAGGGCAGGTGAAACGATAGTTGTTTCGCCGTTTCCGACGTCTGACTCGTGCGGTGGTTGCCAATGACTGGTGCGATTCCGGCGGAGACATAGCCGAAAGACTGTGGTGTTTGCTCACGGATGGAAGTTGGGCCGGTGGCGGTTATGTTGATACATTTATGGCATCAGGTAAGAAGAGTGGCCATAACGAGATGCTAAGTTGGTGTTCAGAAAATAAGACGATGAGCTACTGAGCAAATGGTATTTGGCGATCAAGGAGAAACTGCAACGTCGATAGTTGTTTCGACATCACTTTGAATCGCGTGGATTGCGGTTATTGTTTCGAGGTTTCAACATTGGGTCATGTTTTCCTCTTGTCTTCTGCTTATTTTATCGACAGAATATGTTGAACCCTGTTTTGTTATTCTGAATTTGCAGGTATTGTTGATCTTTGGATGTGGTTGTGGTAGTTTGGGAATAGAATAAAGGTTCGTGGGAAGTAGAGAGATGGAAAGGGTTTAGGTTGCAGCTACTGGGTTGGAAAAGGGTTTGTTGAAAAAGGTTAAGGTGAATATGTACAGGTTGATAAAAGTTGTTTGTGACAGTTGATGTTGAAGAGAGACGGGTGGAAGGTTAGTGCCAAAGCATGGAAGGCGGATATGGTGGTGGTGGGAAGAGAGGGGAAGTGAGTTTTTTTGTTGTTGTTTTGATTATGCAGAGAATGAAAGGATTTGAAAGTGATGGCTACAAAAGAACAGTTTCAGGATTATCTCATCCACATCGTTCTGGTGTTGATGCCCATATGAGTTCCAGTTTCATTGAGGTGCAGTGTTTTTGGTTGTTGTTATTTGTTTTTGTTTTGTGATGTCTATGTTGTTGGTATATCTCTCCCCCCTTCTTTTTGTTAACCAAGTCTAAGTCTATATAGAGAACATAATGAAATTTTGGGGGGAAAAATGAGATGGATTTGGATTCTTTGTGATGCATTGTTTTAACACCTTTTTGCTGCAGATTTGTATTGCCATTTTAAAGTAATTCGAACTGCTTTTGGACAAATTTTGGAGTGTTGTGGGTAGCAGTAGCAGCTGGCTTTTTAACATATTTTTAAACTATTTTGCAGGACTGATATGCTTGGAGCATTATGCAAGTTTTGTTGTGTAGCATGTTTGGGTTTTATGGACAGTTAGGATAGGGACAATAGCAAGGTTTTGGACTGATTTTATTGTTTGGACATTTTTTACAAGGAGAGGAATAGCATAATAATAATAATAATAACAATAATAATAACAAAAAAATAAAAATAAAAAATATTAAACTAAAAATTTCCAAAACATGAAAATTAAAGAGAAATTAAAATTAATTTTAATTTTAATAATAACTCAACTAAAAAGTTGAATTAAAATTAGAACCAAATAAAGATTAATATTGAAAGAAAGAAATGAAAATTATAATAACTAAAAGAATTAAAAGGAAAAGATATTAACTATATATTTTTTGTGATTAAAGTGAAATGCTAAAAATAAAATAATGCTAAGACATGTTTTTTTTTTGTTGAGATTTTTACTAAATTAAATCTAGAAGACTATAATTTTGACTTAAGAATAAAAATCTAAATGAAACTTGAAGAGACTACTTTTTTTTGATATTTTGAATAATAATGTAAATAAAATTAAGATGACATGAACTAAATATTTTTTAGGATTTTTTTTCATGGAATTAAAAATAAAAGAAGAGAAAGTGTAAAATTTATGGTCGGATAAAACATAGTCCAAAATTAAGAATCAAATTCCATTAAATTCGTGAAACAACTTCGAACGTTAATAACTTTTTCGTGGCTTTTCAATGCATAATCATCTCTTGTCTTGTAAAGAAAAATTGTAGATGGTGTCAAGAAAAATCATATGCAAAAAATAACCCCTCAAAATATTGAAATTTGAAGAAGTTATGAATTTTTGAAATCTGACTCGGGAATTGGCAAAAATAGGTCGAATTGCTTGTGAACTCTTGCCATGCCATGATGCGGATGGAATGCGGGATCTTAGGTCAAAAATTAGGGTATGACAGATGCCCATATTTAAGTTTCTTCTATCCGGAGATATGAAGATTGGAATCTTCATTTCGACGAGATCGAAGGGACTTAAATATAGAATACATAATTTTTGGCCACAAGATACCGCAATTATGTTTATGATCTGATATGAATGTAACATTTTGAATTTAATGAGGAAGGATTCCGTATGAGGCAAACTACTGTTGGAGAAACCAAGCACATTATACAGTAATCCCACTAGGGAAGAGATTATAACTCCACTGGGGAAACAAAGTCATAGACTTCAAATGAGAGACTCTTATTAAAGAATAACTTTGAGGGAAGAAATGAATGATTTACATCAGTATTGAGACTGGAAAAGAAAATGATTTACATCAGTACTGAGACTAGAGAAGGGAAATGATTGACATCAGCACTGAGACTGGAAAATGATTGGCATCAGTACTGAGACTGGAAAAGAAATGATTTACATCAGCACTGTGGCTGGAAAACAAAATGATTGATATCAGCACTGTGGCTGGAGATAAACATCTTTGATTTCTGAATTTTACCAAGAACGGTAACACATTTCTTCTTTAACCAAGATATCGCTTGAAAAGGATAAAATAACAAACTTCCCCACGGGACTTTTCCGAAGGGATGCCATTTGCTGAGTAAACATTATTGTTGGGGATACACAAGCTACTCAAATAAAGAGGCCGCCACTTGCTTCCTTTCAAAGGTGTCAATAACATACAAGCTGCTCATGAAGAGACCGCCACTTGCTGTCTTCAAAGAATATTAAAGCATACAAGCTGCTCATGAAGAGTCTGCCACTTGTTGTCTTCAAAGAATATCAAAGTACACAAGCTGCTCATGAAGAGTCTGCCACTTGTTGCCAATAACCCACAAGCTGCTCATAAAGAAGCTGCCACTTGCCGTTTTCAAGGGAACAATAACACACAAGTTGCTCAAATAGATAAGCTGCCACTTGCTGTCTTCCAAAAATACTAACGTACAAGCTGCTCATGAAGAAGCTGCCACTTGCCGTTTTCCGTACAAGCTGCTCATGAAGAAGCTGCCACTTGCCATTTTCAAAAGAAAAAATGACGTACAAGCTACCCATGAAAGGACTGCCACTTGCCGTTTTTCGAGGTGTCAATAATATACAAGTTGCCTCGTGAAGAGATTGCCGCTTGTTGTTTGTCAAGAGTATCCACAACACACAAGTTGCCTCATGAAGAGACCTCCGCTTGACGTTTTCAAAGGTGAAAATAACATACAAGTTGCTCATGAAGAGACCGCCGCTTGATGTTTTCAAAGGTGACAATAACATACAAGTTGCTCATGAAGAGACCGCCGCTTGATGTTTGTCAAGAGTATCCATAACATACAAGTTGCTCATGAAGAGACCGCCGCTTGATGTTTCCCAAAAGATACCCATAAAATATCGTGAAGATATTGCTGGAGGTGAGAACCAATAATTTCATCGGGGATGGACAAACTGCTCATGAAGAGACCGCCATTTGTCGTAGAGAAATCAGAAATAATCAAACTGCTCAAATAAAGAGTCAGTCGCTTGTTGTCATGTCGATATTCCAGAAGAAGGTTGTGATAACACTGCTGGGGAATAAAGTTCATCTTAAATGGGGAACCATGAATAAATCCTTCTTGAGGAGACCAAGTATTTACGTTGCAAAATAAATGCACTCTCCATCTAGGTTTCACAGCCTAGAGAGATCCACAGGGTATCGCTCGCAAGAGACAAAGCTCAATCCAGGAATAAACTGGAGAGAAAATAGTCAAACAAGACTCCGCCTAATGAGGAAACAACTCAAATGGGGATTTATCCTATCCAGATATGGAAAAGGAAAGCTAAAGCAAGATTCTTCCACGAGAGTTAACTCAGTGGGGAATTAGAAAAGAGGCGCACTTTCTGCTTAAGTTGACACTCTATTTGGAAAGATCAAATACGCTATTTGAATAGACATAACCAAGGTATACGAACTCAAAGATATCAACAAATACAAATGTGCGTGCATGATGCAAGTATGAACGAATGAATGAATGTCATGTATATATTGACAAAACAGACAGGGGAGATAGACAAAAGATGATAAGACGTCCCAGTACAACTCAACACACGGCTAATCTCAACAAGATGGAAATATTACTGGAGATAGAACACAGGCCATCATTGGAGCAAAGTCCTTTTGCAAGGCTTAAATCTCTTTGGAGAGGAAGATATTTTCAGGTAGAAAACCCAAAGTCTAGTCTTCTATTATCGATAATCCATTGAAAGGATAACAACACGAACAATGCTTCAGCTGGAAAAAGTCATGCTTAGCTGGAGATACTGGGAACACCACCCTCTGATAATGTGTGCAATACATATCACATATCTTGATAAATCTAGATTGCCCCTGGGACCAATTTTGGATGCCCCAAGTTTACTGCTGATGAGCTGCATGTTGCACGACAATTCTTGCGAATAGCTTCACTTCTAACATGCCCCAAGCTATCTGGTTGATGAGGAGAAATCGTCTCAAGAGGATTTTACAAAAGACCTGGCATTCACCATGCTCTGGTGTCTTCAAACTCTTAGAGGAATTCATCAAATCTCGACGTGATTGCCCCGGATTGACTGTAGTTGGCACAACGAAGTCTTCAAATTTTGCCCCAAAAGGGTAAGCGAGTTGGGAAAGCATTAACTGGGAGAATCAACATGTTCGTGCTTACGGTCTTCAGGTGACATGCCCCTGGATATGATTTTTTCTTGACGTGATCCGCCAATTACTCAACATAGTTTCAGGCCTTAAAAGAATAAACTTATCACTGGTGCTTATGTGAGCTTCCTTGATACCAAACAAATGTTTTGCAGTTAGAAAAAGTTTACAATGAGAATGAAAATTCTAATGCAACAATTATGTAAGTCTTGAAGATTTTGAAAGATATCGCACAAATTTTGCGAGTTAAAGCACCATTTATTTTTGTATAGGAAAAACATATGATACCAACATAACTATTTAACAATCGTTCATGGGAGTCAGGAACACCATCTCATGGAAGTATTCTTTCAAAATAACCTTGCTTCAATTAGGACTTTTGAAGGTTGTAACGTGGTCTGGTTCATGGTTTTTAGAAAAAAGATTTTAAGGCTCAAAATATTTGGTGCCCACCCATTCTTCATGATGTTCTCCAACCCTATGTTCAGTTAATTCAACATGAGTGTTCATCTCTCAAAAGGATTTTGTGACGGTCAAGGAAACGACGAGGCTTTCGGAATAGAAACCGCCCTCATGTCTTCGTGTTTGTAGTCACCAATTTGTTCTTTGTTGAGGACTTTTCTTTGCAGTCCTTTTCTTTGCAATTTTTATTTTCCCTAACTTTTGCCTGAACTAATTCTTTTGAATTGATAGTCCAGCGGGATGCCTTAATTTTGCCTAAGTCACACGTTTTCATGTTTTTTGGCTTAGCAGGCTTTTTCTTTTTTCTCGATTTTTGACTTTTTGAACAAAATGTGTGACATTAGCTTGTCTTTGCTTGTTGAGAGGATTGTGATTGCCTCGTTTCTTGATGAATGAGGGATAACATTGTGGTTCCACATCCTCTAGATTCATTATACATGAAGGATAGCCCTCGTAGTTTCTCTTCAAAAAAACATCTTCCTTATGAATTATGAACACTCAGTCAGATTAACTAAAAACTACCCTGCCCCAGGTTAAAATTCAAGGTTTTTTTTCGTATAGAAAAAGAAACTTCTGCTTCAAAGGCTCAAAAGGGTTTAGCAAGGGATTATCTTCCTTATATCTCCAGTGTTTAGGGATTTGAAACAATGGCTGTACATCATCAGCAAGATTTTATCTAAAAGCATGCAACCAGGGATTTTGTGTTCTTTAGATCATCATCCTCCCTTCAATCTCTGCCTAGGCAAGAGAATGAGCAACAATTTGGTATCATAGTGCAAAAGCAATTTAAAATTTGAAAACAAATATGAGTGAAACGAATGAATTTCTTCAAGACAAACATATTCATTGTATTAAGATAATCATTCAGATGCAAACAAGTTCTTACATGCAAACAATGTTTTGATAAACAAGAAAAATTACAAAATGCATAAATAAGTTAATAATCTGGGAAGGCTTTCCATCTGGACTTGAATTACCTAAAACATCCTTCAAAAATCAAAGTCACCATCAATCATGTTTACTCTTCGGCACATGCTTGATTTGAACTTCAAAACCAACGTCCTTGAATGACAAGATACCACTTCTGACCAACTTCTGAACCTCGATCTTCAAAGCAAAACAACCCTCCAAGTCATGCCCAGGAGCACCTTGATGAAAGGTACATGTCAAATCAGCTTGGTAGTACCAATATATCTTCTCAGGAACCTTCGGTGGAGGTCGGGTCTGAACCAAATTCCTCTGCATCAGGATAGGGAACAACTCTGTATAGGTAATTGGAATTGGATCAAACTGGGTTTTCCTTTGATTAGGAACTTGCTGATTCTGTTGATGAATAGGAGAAACGTGATGATTCTGACGATGATTATTTCTTCATATGGTTCTCTTCTTGGAAAATTTATTATCAAACTTCTTCACACCATTAGTTGAGCTACCATCTTCATATGAACATCCCTTCCCAACATCTTCTTCTAGACGCACTCCCACATTCACTTTGTCAGGAAAGTCATTAGGTGCATTATCCATCACCTTCTCATGAGAGAATGATTTTAGAGTTTCAGTGAATACTTTTATCATCGCTTCCTCCCTCCTAGAAGGATTGACTTGGGCGGCAACCAGAATTTCAACCAAACCAGTTAAGCGCTCCATACTAGCTTTCAAAATAGTCACCTCTATGCGGAGTTCAGAAACCTCTTGCTTGATATTCCCCATTGTTCTCTTAGCGCGAGTGTTGTACTGGTGAGACCAAAGGAAAAATAAGACTCGGAAAAAGACCTTTGAAAGTGAAACGAAAAATGTAGGATGATGTATGATATGCAAAAGAGAGTTTTTATTTGATTTTCAAGGAACTCAAGATATTAAGTTGTAAACATCAAAGTATGAAGATAGAAGATGAATTTTAAATTGGCTCCAAACATTGATCAAGTTATCATCAAGATCAATCATCCATTTTGGTGGATTAGGGTTTTCGCCCTATCAACACCCAAGATCCATTGAGTTTGACAAAACTTATGATGTTTACAAAGAAAGACCTCCAAATTCCTTCAAAGTCAAGTGAAAAGGGTTTTATGGATGCATGAATGCATGGCTATGCAACAACCACAAGCAAGGTCACAAATAAAGTTGGAAGGTTCAACGTCACGAGCATGGAGTCAAGGTAAGGAACACCCCCAAGGTATGTACTAACGGTTTAATCACACCTGTAGAACAAGGTTCTAAGAGTTCCCGGAGTCTACATTCCTCCTTCGGATATTACCAACGTCTTGATTACTCAATAATCAGCAATATTCTCAAGAGAAACTCATCCGAGCGTAGCATCGCGTAACAATTACTTCCGGATTACTCCGTTATAATCTCCGCGCTACACCTAAAAGGCCAAGATGGGTTAGGGTTCTATGGTTCCTAGCTTCTCTGGCTCCCAGGTCGAAAATAATAATGTCTTCCCAATTACTTGGTAAACAAATATTACGTTCAAAAGGGCCTTCCACTGAGTGGGGGATCTCATGCCTCCTTCTTTGGGATTACTCCCTCAAAGTTAACATGACTATACCGCCCGTCCTATTCCTAAGTGTAACTTATTCCGGGTATAGGACTTGTTTTTTGTAAATATTATCAACACCCAAATAATCATAATATATACACATAATCAAACAATCAAACAATGATAAAACAGATAAAACAAATTAGGCTTAACCCACTTAGGGATGGACCAGCAAGAGGTCAATCTTTCCCCAGCAGAGTCGCCAATTCTGAAGCGGTGAAAATCGGAGATCAAGCTATTAATTAACTTGACTCACAAAAGCAAGAGTCGCCACCGCGCTTTATTATTTCCAAGGGAAAAGGGAAAAGTGCGAAATAAAACCCTAAAATATGCAATGTAAAATAATACTTAAAAGTAATAAAAATACAATGCGTTTTGAAAAGAGATCGAGAGTTCGGGGGTTGGTTATACAATAGGAAGGTATTAGCACCCAATGTATCTGCGGTACTCCGCAGGAACCTTTTGAAATATCCGTTTTTTGGTTAAAATTGTTTGTTTGATAAAAATGGTTCGTTTGGCTAAAAATGGGTATGGACGAGATTTTGAAGATGCGACGACCTAGTGTCGAAGTTTTGACTTAAAAGAGTGTATGTTTGAAATTAGGTTTTGAGGAGATTTAACTTAAGATTTACAAAATTAAAAATGTATGAAGGGGTTCACACAATCGTATTAGATACTCGATGACATGAAGTCAATAAATTAATTCTTTCCCTTGGATTAGGCACAAACAAAGTATAAAAATCAAATAATCAGAAAGAATTTAAACAAAATAGCACTTAAATCATTTAAATAGTTAACAACCAAAAATTAATTAAATTAAAGAATGACAAATTAAATCAAAATTATCACAACATCAGTCAAGGAATATCATGAGGAAATTAATTCAAACAAATAAGAAACAACGAGGTCAAGATAATTAATAAGAGACTAATTTAGAGAGACAAAGAAAATCAAGCGAGAAAAGATAACTAAATGAAATAACTAAAAAAAATTAATTAAGCTAAAATACTATTAAAAGCCACAAGTTTTACTAAATTTATTTTAAAAGCTAAACTAGTTAATTTAAAATTATTTAACTAACTAAAGTTATAAAGAAAACCTAACTAAAATAATAAAAAAAATTCATCAACTCTTAACTTAAACAACTAAAAGAAAAAGAAAAAGGGTAGAAGGTTAGATCATGGGAGAAAAATTGTATCAGGAGTGTAGAGAGGTAATAGAGAGACACTAAGGCCCGATCACAAATGAGTCCAGAAATGTTTTTTTTATTACACTAAACTTTAGGGTGTTAAAAAAAATAAAATGGCATGGGCCTAATGGAATTACTTGGTCCCGAAGTCAAACCCAACCATCATTTTTCAGCATACTTATTTCAATTAAAACAAAACTAAGAATGATTAAACAAAACAAAAACAAGAAAAAAAATTGACACGTGAGAAGATTAGGGTTGGAGATTATAATACCTCAGCTTTTTAAATGCTTCTCTCTTCTTCCCTTTCCCTTTCTTCCCACCTTTATTACTCTGAGCCAACCACTCCTCAAAAGCGTCGAGGATTTCAGGTATGAGTTCACGGTTCGGCGACTCGTCCCATCTGACCCAGTAACTCGTGTAGCATCGGAAACAGCTGCAGTTGAAGAGAGTAGCATGATCGGTGTTCTTAACGGTGTTCCATTTTGGGTTTCCGGTAAAGGCTGGTGGGGTTGCAGCGGATGAGCAGTAGATGAGGTAAGCCAAGACTTCTCTGTCTTCGGTTGAGAGAGCAGCTGCTAGGGTGAGGATGGTGGCCGAAAGGAAGGAAAGTTGGTCGGTGATGACCGGTGGTGTTGTTGTTCGTGTAGAGAGGGTGTTGAATCAGACCGTGACGGTTGAACAGAAGGCGAATGTTATTGGGAGTAATAGGCGGCTGACAAATGATGATTGAGAAGAAATAGAGTGATGTGCAAAGGAAAATCGGCGGTTTGGATTTTTGATGATGTCGTACGCAGATTTAGCAGTGTAGTTGCAAAGTGGGGAGGAACTAATGGCGGTTCCTTTGCGTAATCTTCAGAACTAAGCTGTGAATTATCATAACTTGAGGTTGGTGATTGAGGAGGTTCAAAACCAGAAATGCTTCCAATGTCTTCAGGAACATAATCATGTAAGTCCAAGATATTGTAAGAATTCCCAGCTTCATCTTGAGCCCAAGGCAAATCCGGAGCATAACTATATCTTCCATCAACAACAAATCTATACTGGTAAACACCAGAGGGAAGCACCTTCAATATAGTAAAATCTTTACCTGATCTCTGCAATCGAGTTCTTGATTTCCAATTATCCCAAGATCCCTCAACAGAAATATCTTTAACACCATAACTCCAAGTAATCAAAATTGGAATTGCATGTTGTGTGTACATATCTTCATAACCAGAAGTAGTTTGTGTCCATGAATGCATCTCATCAGGTCTTTGTAAAGGAACAACAGGAACTTGAGGAGTGAAGATGAGTGGAGAATGAGTGGCGGGATCGGCGAAAGAAGTACACGAGGAGGATGCATAAATTATTTATGAGAGACCCATTCATGTTCTTCTTCCTCTGTGCCTATAACCATATTTATGAACCTGTGTAAAATTGGTAAGCATTCATGTGTTAAAAATTTGAGAATTTATGCATTTTTGATGGTGTTGTCGATTGCTTTTTGCAGGTGGGGATTGTTACAAGGTGGAATGGAGGACGCGGAGGGCAGGTGCAACGATAGTTGTTTCTCCGTTTCTGACGTCTGACTCGTGCGGTGGTTGCCAGTGACTGGTGCGATTCCGGCGGAGACAGAGCCGAAAGACTGTGGTGTTTGCTCACAGATGGAAGTTGGGTCGGTGGCGGTTATGTTGATACATTTCTGGCATCAGGTAAGAAGAGTGGCCACAACGAGATGCTAAGTTGGTGTTCAGAAAATAAGACAATGAGCTACTGAGCAAATGGTATTTGGCGATCAAGGAGAAACTGCAACGTCGATAGTTGTTTCGACATCACTTTGAATCACGTGGATTGCGGTTATTGTTTCGAGGTTTTAACATTGGGTCATGTTTTCCTCTTGTCTTCTGCTTATTTTATCGATAGAATATGTTGAACCTTGTTTTGTTATTCTGAATTTGCAGGTATTGTTGATCTTTGGATGTGGTTGTGGTAGTTTGGGAATAGAATAAAGGTTCGTGGGAAGTAGAGAGATGGAAAGGGTTTAGGTTGCAGCTACTGGGTTGGAAAAGGGTTTGTTGAAAAAGGTTAAGGTGAATATGTACAGGTTGATAAAAGTTGTTTGTGACAGTTGATGTTGAAGAGAGACGGGTGGAAGATTAGTGCCAAAGCATGGAAGGCGGATATGGTGGTGGTGGGAAGAGAGGGGAAGTGAGTTTTTTGTTGTTGTTTTGATTATGCAGAGAATGAAAGGATTTGAAAGTGATGGCTACAGAAGAACAATTTCAGGATTATCTCATCCACATCGTTCTGGTGTTGATGCCCATATGAGTTCCAGTTTCATTGAGGTGCAATGTTTTTGGTTGTTGTTATTTGTTTTTGTTTTGTGATGTCTATGTTGTTGGTATATCTCTTTCCCCTTCTTTTTGTTAACCAAGTCTAAGTCTATATAGAGAACATAATGAAATTTTGGGGGGAAAAATGAGATGGATTTGGATTCTTTGTGATGCATTGTTTTAACACCTTTTTGCTGCAGATTTGTATTGCCATTTTAATGTAATTCGAACTGCTTTTGGACAAATTTTGGAGTGTTGTGGGTAGCAGTAGCAGCTGGCTTTTTAACATATTTTTAAACTATTTTGCAGGACTGATATGCTTGGAGCATTATGCAAGTTTTGTTGTGTAGCATGTTTGGGTTTTATGGACAGTTAGGATAGGGACAATAGCAAGGTTTTGGACTGATTTTATTGTTTGGACATTTTTTACAAGGAGAGGAATAGCATAATAATAATAATAACAATAATAATAACAAAAAAATAAAAATAAAAAATATTAAACTAAAAATTTCCAAAACATGAAAATTAAAGAGAAATTAAAATTAATTTTAATTTTAATAATAACTCAACTAAAAAGTTGAATTAAAATTAGAACCAAATCAAGATTAATATTGAAAGAAAGAAATGAAAATTATAATAACTAAAAGAATTAAAAGGAAAAGATATTAACTATATATTTTTTGTGATTAAAGTGAAATTCTAAAAATAAAATAATGCTAAGACATGTTTTTTTTTGTTGAGATTTTTACTAAATTAAATCTAGAAGACTATAATTTTGACTTAAGAATAAAAATATAAATGAAACTTGAAGAGACTACTTTTTTTTTTATATTTTGAATAATAATGTAAATAAAATTAAGATGACATGAACTAAATATTTTTTAGGATTTTTTTTCATGGAATTAAAAATAAAAGAAGAGAAAGTGTAAAATTTATGGTCGGATAAAACATAGTCCAAAATTAAGAATCAAATTCCATTAAATTCGTGAAACAACTTCGAACGTTAATAACTTTTCCATGGGTTTTCAATGCATAATCATCTCTTGTCTTGTAAAGAAAAATTGTAGATGGTGTCAAGAAAAATCATATGCAAAAAATAACCCCTCAAAATATTGAAATTTGAAGAAGTTATGAATTTTTGAAATCTGACTCGGGAATTGGCAAAAATAGGTCAAATTGCTTGTGAACTCTTGCCATGCCATGATGCGGATGGAATGCGGGATCTTAGGTCAAAAATTAGGGTATGACATTATCCAATAAGGAAAGGCTGAAAAGAATAGGAAAGACCTTTAGAGATATTTTCTTGAGTTCGAGGGGTAGATTATGAAAAGGGAAGGTTTTTAGCACCCTTTTCATCCATGGTTTTCCATGGGCTCTTAGTTGCTTGCTAGATCACTTGCTTTGTTTGAAAATATGATTTGTGTTGTAGGTTTGAAAATATTTTGAAAATGTCTTTGTAACGGTTCTTGAAAATAGTTTAAAGTGGTGTTTGTGGAATGTGTTTTTTGAAAGTGTTCTTAAAAAGGTGTTTTTGTAATGGTTCTCGTCTCTATAAGAACGTATACAAAAAGCTTTTGTATTTTGAGAAAAAGGTTTTAATGTGAAAGTGTTGGTGTAAATTGTTTGGTTGTGAGCAAACAAGCAACTAGGAGAGAATCTACCTACTCAAAAGATCTTAAATGTTCTTTTCCTCCTCCTTTAGATGTTTCTATCTTACCATTGATTTGGTAAGAAGCCCCATCGTTGTATGTGAAGGGACAAGCGCGGGACGTTTGTACAGTCATAAAAGGCAACTTATGAGACGCTTTAGCAGTTTTTCGTAAGGGACTAGATCGTTTTATCGAAGGCAACATCGAGGGTCATCGAGGGACTACGATCTTTTATCAAGGGTCTTTGCTAAAACACCCATATTCGAGGGACATGACTAATTTCCAATAGGCAACAAGTGAGATTACCCTAAGGGTGAATGTGTGAATAGTGTGTTTGATTGCATTCATTTTAGTCTTTGATTTTTAGGTTGTCTATTTGTTGTTTTTATCTTTCCATACACACGTTAATTACTAACAATATATGAAAGCAATAAAAGTGCGAGAAAAGTAAAGTCCTACACTATTACGTCATTAAGGGGATGGGGGTACAAATTTATGAATGGGGGTTGCAAGAATTTAAATCCTATTTAACTATTACAACCATATTGAAATGTACAATGCAAGAAAGAAAAAGGACTTGTTTCGAAAATGGTTTTTTGTCTTAATGAATTAAAAAAAGAAATAAATTAATTAATAAAAAGAAAATATTTTCATGTCTTTTTTTCTATTAATAAAAATGGTATTAATATTGAAAATGATAAAAAGGGAAATAATGAGAGATAGAATTAACATGCTGTTGAAAGAAAAACAAAGGGGATCAGAAGTTCTGATGCCGGACACGCAGTGGTTCAGAAAGAAATGTCAGAAGTTCTGGATTGATACACTCTGAGGTCCTGTAAGAAACGTTAGAGGGAAAACATAGAAGTTCTCTGTTTCTACATGCTTAAACTTCCGAGTGTTAGAATAATGAGAAAGTCTTAGATGTTCTGTTTATTAAAATGGTGAAGAGAACTCAGAAGTTCAGTATGTGCTAAGGCAGTGAGTGAATAGCTAAAGTTCAATATGTATTAACAACAAGTGAACATCAGAAGTTCAGTGTGTTTAAACAGTGAGAAAATCAAAGAAGTTATGTGTGTTAAAACAGTGAGGAGAACTCAAAAGTTCTGTGTGTATTAACAACGCGTGAAGATCTGAAGTTCAGTGTGTTTAAACAGTGAGAAAATCATAGAAGTCATGTGTGTTAAAATAGTGAGGAGAACTCAGAAGTTTTGTGTTGTGCTAAAACCGTGAGTGAACATCAGAAGTTCATGTGCTACATTTCAACTCTTTCCTCATATTAATCAGCACATCAGCAATTTATTCAGTTCTTAACAAACAGCAAATCAGAAGGATAAAAGCACAACAGTTTATAGAAGTTCTAATCCTAATCCTGCGCCTAGCCTTAGTGAAGAAGTTCTGATCCACAATTTTTCTACTTATGCAATGATATGGACGACACCAATACTATGATATTTACATATTTTAATGATGTTATAAATGAAAATATGCAAAGTCAGAAAGGCTTACCTTGAATCTGGAGCGTATGCTTGGAACTCGAACTGATGCCTTCAGATGTTTTGGAGTCAGCAAGAGCAACGGAAGGGAAAATGGTAAGTTCTTTTATTTAAAGAGGAGGAACAAAGGTTTGGTTTTCTGTTTGGGATTTCTGGATTTTGATGAAGGTTTCACAGTTTTCTTTTCTCTCTTTTGACAATTCTCTCTCTCCAAAAGCCAAACCCCTTGAACGTGTGATGGAGAAAATTATTTATAGATGGGTTTGCTGTGGTTTTTGGGGGAAAAACAACTGGGATTCAAACCTTTTTGGTATATTGTTCCATTGCTTTTTAATCACAGTTTTTGTATGCTAATTTGGTGCAAATATAGGGTTTGAGAAAAATGCTGGCGTGGACTAGATCAACAGTAATTTGGAGTGTTGTGGCAGCTGGTTGCAGGAATGTGCTATAGCAGTGCAGCAGGTTGTTCAAACAAGGTTTTGGGGCTTTGTGATGTTCTGATCGAAGAAGACCAGAATGATACTCGAAGGGTGATGCTCTGATCGAAGCATATGCTGAAGAGTCATGTTCTGATTGAAGAATTATGTTCTGAACCATGTTTGCAACTTTTAACTTCACTTGCGTGGAGGCTAGCTAAGAAGTTCTGAAGTATCATATTCTCTTTACACTTAGAAAATTTTCTAAATGTTTAGAAATTTGATTTTTTTCAAAGTAATTTCTGACTTCTGATTTTTTTGATGAACCAATATCATGTCTTGATGAAATTTAATTGTTGAAACTTGATTTT